CAGAGAGAAGCCGTCCGTCCAGCGGGAGAACCGAGATGATCTAAATGTCAGCTCTAAATTGATCTTTCCGCACAGCGTCTTCCAGGCCCACTCCCGGCGGGCTTTTTTGTAGAAATGGATGAAATGATTCTAAAATTTATACAGAATTGCAAAGGACCTAAAAATACCACTGTGCCATGCGACTTGCTCTGAGAACAGAAACGTCCTATTGAGCATTTTAAATGAGACTATTGTGCCTTAGGAACTACATCTTTAGTTTTACTTAATTGTAATGAATTAAATTGAAATCACCACATGTCTCGGGTGAGTCACTGTTTTGGATATTACAGACCCAGACTACCCAAGGCAACCGTGCAAAGGAAGAAAAGCACGGCAGAATCCAGGCTCCCAGCTTGCAAAGCTTACATAACACAGCCACAGTCAGGGGATGGCACAGGGCTGACATGGAAATACACAGGGCCAGCAGGCAGACGCAGCAGAGGCCAGGAGACCAGCTGGCCCGGGTCCCGCGACTTTACACAGTGCCACCAAGGCCCCCAGCAGAGAAGGAGGGGTCCCAGGCAGCTGAGCATGCACACGGAGAGAAGGCAAACTTCAACTCCACTGCCCCGGGCACAGATATTCACTTGAGATGAATCATTGACCTCCGAGAGAGAATTAAACTTTATTTTGTACAAGCAAATCCAATACCCTCGTGTCCTGGGGATTGGCAAACGTTTTGGGGGTGGAGGGGAGCCCTGGGGAAGATTTCAGGGTGAGGGATGAACTTATGTCGGTGGATTCTGCCCTGCGTGGATCTCCAGCACCTGCAGCCTGGACGGAAAGGACCCGTGAGGCAGGCTGGCCTCCGCTCAGCACCCTGCACGCCGAGCTCAGTGCTCCCCAGCGCTGCGCACTGCTGGGCGCCATGACCTTCTCTCACCGTGCAGGAAAGGCAGGTGGAGGAGAGGATGACGGATGGCCATGAGATGATGCCAAATTTTCACGGTGGCCTCCCCTGCAAGATGTACAGTCTTCCCCAACTTTTATGTATGTTTTAGTTGTTTTCATAAAATGTTGGGAAGAAGATACATCCAGGGGCCAAGGATACGATTTGGTGGCCCAGCACCTGCATGGCAAGCGCAAGGTCATGAACTTGATCCCTGGTACAGAAGAAGAAGAGGGAGGAGGGAGGAGGGAGGAGGGAGGAGAAGATCCATCAGTGGTTGGCAAAAGCATGCTCAGCACTGTGAGAAATGAGAGGAATGCAAAATAAAACCACGGAGAGAGGCTCTTACACACCTGCCAGATGGCTGGAGTTACAACAGGGTGCCAGCGAGTGGAGACCAGGACGCCAGCTCGAACCTCACAGGCGGCTGGCACAAACACGAGGGTGCAGCACTTGGGGCCTGGCAGTGTCTGAAAAGTGGACCTCGCCTCGCCTGGGATACAGCAGGCTGTCTACCCAGGGGACACACAAACACACGCACGGGGTGACGGCAGCAGGTGTGTTCTCAGCGAGCAAGGGCGTTTGCGTCTGCTCAGATGGGAACTGTCCACGGACGGCAGCGTGCACACGCAGGTGGCCCGGACAGCAGAGTCCCAGGGCCGTGGTGCCACTCGGGTGTCGTTCTGGAATGGCCAAAGCTCCAAGGCCTCCGCGTGGGGATGGTGGTGACAGGTAGGGTGGGGAGAGGGGCCGGGCAGGACACCGGGCACCTTCTAGTCATCGGAAATGTGCACCTCGGTTTGGGTGGTGACTACGTCCTTTTCTCTTAGAAAATGAAATGCTTGTGCATACACATGCCTGCGGTGTGATCAAAGACTGTGTCCTGGATGTAAATAAAAGTTACTACAGTAAAAGACTCAGTGCCACGCGGGTGCCCTGAAGTACTCCCCGCCAGCTCGGACACACTGAGCCACCGTTGGTGCCACCCTGCAGCAGCTCTGGGGTCCCTGCATCGTGAGTGTCTTCAGCTGCACGGGCATGGTGTGCTCTTTCTCGGTGTCCTGAACCCACTCAGAATGTCTGCCTTCTGCGGTCCTTTGATTCTGGGTGACAGGCAGATGTGCCCTGCAGCCACACCAGGGAGTGAGGTGGATGAGGACCCCGCGCCCCTGCCTGTCTGTGGGATGGCGCTCGGCAGCAGCGCTTAGCAGAGTTTTTATCACAGCCTGGAAAGACACTCATGACAGAGGACCCAGAGCTGCTGCGGAGAGAGGAGGGACAGCCACGCATGTCACATACCCCCGTGGACCAAAACATTGTGAAATCACTCATCACTGTATTTATTCATTGATTGGTTGTCTCCCTGTGCAGTTCAGGCTGGCCTTGAGCTCACTTTATAGCCCAGGTTGGCCTCAAACTCATGGCGATCCTCCTGCCTCGGCCTCCGAGTGCTGGGATTACAGACGTGCGCTCTCACGTCCAGCTAAACATCCTTTTCATAACGTGTTTAACGGCATGGTAACACGGGCACTGCACTAAATCAATCTTACACAGGATCCAAAACACTCAGCCTGCACAACTGATTTCTTTAATTCTAAGACATTACTTACTGATTTTAAGGCTTCGCACAGATTTGACTAATGACTTTTCCTCCAAAGGTCACCATCTAAGCTGGAGGCTGACGTGTGTGTGTTCTCGTCCCCGGGCAGCAGGGAGTTCCGGGAGCAAAGCGTGGTCCTGTCCCGACACCTGCGTCCCCACCCCAGCGCTCCTGCTGCCCAGGGACGCGGGCTCCGCCGCTCCCGGCTGGCTTCCTTTCAATTTTTACTTCCCATAACCCGAGTGCGCTATGTGTCACTGACTCACGGGGGAGTCTTGGCGTATTGAGTGTATAAATCCCAATGGTAACATTTTATTCCTCCCAAGCCCCCATCCGAGGGGGGTCTGCAGCACCCCCTACCGCCAGGCAGGAGGCCTCTTCTGAGCTGGTGGCCGGATTCCACGCTGGTGGCGTCATTTTCTTCTTTAGCACAGCCCGCTGGTGTTTAGGACAAACCTTGTTCATTTCTGAAGAAGGTCTGGCCTCAGCTCCACCGGGCCCTGCAGCAGCAGCTCCTCGAAGTCTATGTGACTCAGTTTCCTAACCAGCCCACGAGCCGAGGGCAGCAGCTCACAAGAGAGCCGGGGGCGGGTCTGCGGGTCAAACGGGGACCCGGTAAGGGCCAAAACACCCTGTCCCCCTTCTCACAGGCGCCATCCGCTCTGCTCAGGTCCTCACAGCCACTTCTCCCTGGGGAGAAGAGAAGGGCAGGTGACAGCCTTTACCAGGTGTGCAATGGGCCAGAAGCAGACTGGCCGGCTGTGCAGGAGGGACACAGCACCAGCCCGGTGGCCTTCGGGATGGAAAGCGGTGGAATGGGGAAGGCCAGCCAGGAAGGCAGGACACTCGGGGTCCTGGCCTCGGTGGCCCAGAGGAAGACGGACTTCCCGAGGCAGCGCCCAGGGCCCCAGGAGGGAGCTCTACAAGGGCTGAGACCAGGTACCGTGAACCCAGGGGAAAAACAGGTCCCGCAGTGACAGGCACCACATCTGAGTCCTGGTCCCCAGCCACCCAGCGAGAGAGGGCGGGTCCTGTGGCCCAGGGTGGAATCTCTTTGGGACCAGCCCCGTGGGGACAGTCAGCAAGGCTCTGTGCACACTCGGCTTTGTGCAGCGGGAGACAGGGCCCAGGCCAGGCCAGCCTGCCCCTCCCGGGGTCGCTGTCACAGAAGCCACACAGCAGGTGTCTCAGGGCAGGGCCTTCAGCCTGCGGGAGGACAAGGCCACCCCAGCTCCTCACAGGCTGCCCTCAGGCTGCACCCTCCGCACCACCCCCGGAGCAGGGATGCCATTCCAGGCTCTGCACTTGTGACTGGGATTGGGGAGAAACCTCAGAATAGTTTGAATCATCTGGCGAGCAAAGCTAAGAAAATGTGGGGGTGGAGAAAGCTGCTAGACCTGGGTACAAGCCAGAAAACCCGAGCCGCTCTAACAGGGAGGTGCCGGGCTGGGGGAGCGCCTCTGAGGGCCGGAGACACGGTGGCCTGTGGGGGGACGCAGCCATGTGCCAAAGCGGCACAGGCCAACGAGGCGAGGGGCCGATCTGGGGCCCGGGATGCCCGAGTCTCTGACAGGCCGCTCAGCGACGCGGCTCCCAGGCACACCAAGCCAATTCCAACATGATGTGGGGTGCTCAAGGGATCCCCCATTCTCCTCCTCCCAGAGCAGTGGGTCCCAAAGCTGGGCAGCCTGCAGGGGCCTGTGAGCTAACAGTGTTTTCATGACACCAAAATATCTGTCTTCCCACCTTCTGCTCAGTGTAGTTTTCAGAGGCCTCCTGACACATGATCTTGCAAAAGCTCTAGTGTAAGCCAGGCGTGGAGGTGCACACTTACAATCCCGGCACTGTGGGACGCTGAGCAGAAGGATCCCAAGTGCAAGCCCAGCCTGGGCAACTTAAACTTAATGAGACCCAGTCTTTAAAATGGGGGCGGCAAAGGCCTTGGGTTCAATCCCCAGTGTTCAAGGGAAATACACAAACTGGGTCAGGTAGAGAAGCAGACCTGTGACTCAACTAGCCAGACATTAAAGAAACTGCAAAATACAAAACAGTGCCACTGTTCCTCACTCATTTTTGGGGGAACAGTTTTCACTAAAATACAACCCTTTAAGTCGATTCATCCTAACTATTTGGTATTTCTAAACTATGCTCTAAATCTTTGGTTTTCATTCACAGATTGTAAGTACTGACTGATACAACCCGTCTATGCAAACGCACTTTGGGGTCCTCCGTGGTCCTAATGGCACAGAGGGGGGTCCTGAGACGAAAAGGCACGAGCGGGGCTCAGGCCGTAGATGCAGCCGTGGGGACCCTACTGCTGGGGACCGCTGACCAGTGCTGTAGTCTAGTGGACATGAGCAGGGGGAGATTGATCAACCGTGTCAAAATTTCAGTCCGTTCATACGTAACACACGCACACACACGCACACACAGAGTAAAAACCCAGAAACACCGGCGAGCAAACACGACACACACAGGTTAGTATCTTTAATATATAATAATGAGCTTATACAAATTTATCAGACCTCAGTAGGTACAGCGAGGGGCACTGACAATCCACAGAAGAGGAAATACAGCCACCAAATGCAGAGAGAGAACCCAGAAGTGCAGACCAAACCACAAGGCCTCTGCTGTAACCCAACCGGCAAACATCCAGCCCAGAACACCCAACGCTGGCCGCTGGGCGCTCCTCCCCGTGCTGGTGGGAACGCGAATGGACATTTCTGGAAACCCTTTTTGTCACTAGATAATGAAGACCTGAAAGGTCTTCCTACGCTTTAATGCCCCTCCAGGAATCTATCCCAGGAGGGAACTTGGCGTGGACAGTGAAAATGTGGCAACGGCCCTGACAGCACTCAGCACCGCTGTCCCTGTGCCCGCCTGGTGGGAACATTCTCGGCCCCTGCAGAACAAGCTCAGCCCAGCACTGGGCAGCTGCGACATGGTCAGTGAGGACAGCAGCACCGTACAGATGGCTCAGCGTCCTAACTTCAGAAAATGTGAAGGAACCCAGGCCCGAGCCCAGAAGGGACCCCCCAGTGTTCACTTCCTCTGCTCTGCCTGTGCCTTAGTCTCCCCAAATCCTCTGGTGGGCGGCTTGGCCTGGGGAGGGCAGAGACCTGGTGGGTTTTGGGTGGGTACGTATGTGTGAGCTTGGTTTCTCCCTCTGTCCTGGGCCAGTTGCCACCAAATATAACATGAAGTCCCCAAGAGACCATGCCACTGAGACTTGAGTCCTCGCCCCTCTGTGACCACAGGACACCCTGTCTCCCCCGCCCCCGACACAGGGAGCCTTTCCCGTTGATCTGACCATTCCAGGCTCTCCTCTCAAAGGCCCTCAGTGACAAGTCCCAGACAGGGGACCAGGCATGACCACTCACCGGGAAGGATGGGGCCTTGCAAGGCTCCTCCTTTACCCCGGGGTATGTGCCCTCTGCCCGATGCCCACATCCGCTCATCCATCCGCCACCCCGTGGGGAACTTCCCGGTGGGCTCACCCAGTGGTAGGCGTGGCTCCCTGCTCCAGAACAGCAGGCACGGAGCGCCAGGACAGTCCTGCTCGATGCCACGTGGGATTTCTCACCCCTCTCATCTACTCACCTGGGCCAATGAGATGGGTCCTTGCGGTTCCTAGAAGTCACCGAAACGCCTCAGGGCATGGAGCCAGTCCCCAGTGAGGCCACACTCAGGGAGTGTGGAGCTGCCCCTCCTAAAGGCCATTATCAAATGCACCCTGGAATGCAGCAAGCTCACTTACCAGACGGGTACCACGTGCACCAGGAGCAGTCACGAGGTCTTCCCCACGACGATGACACCGACACCAAGAGCACAGAAACTGCTCACACGCATCACTAACTCCGATGCCTCTTTACCGTCACTGTCTGCTCTCCGGAAGCTGGGGAAACCGTAACCCCGAATATGTACACAGCCGCTCCTGCCCCACCGCAGTCTTTCACCCTGTCCGTCCCTCCGTCCGTCACCGTGGTCTCCTTCCTGGGCTGCACAGGCCTTGGGTCTCATCCCCTGCCCCGGACTGAGGTGCCCTCCTCTGGGAGCCATGAGGGCCCGCTATCATCTGCTACAGGTCCAGAGTCGTGGGGAGCCATCGAGAAGGTGGCAACCATGTGCCAGTCTTGTGCCACTGACGGGAGCGCCAGGAGTCACCAAACCACACATAGCTGGGACAGCAGCAGCCTGGGCCAGGCACAACCATCAGAGGCAAAGGGCCAGCAGTGGACATGGATGGGAGGGTGGCCAGCCCTGCCCGTGTGGCCCAACCCTCAGTGCTGGCACGGACCCGGGAGCTCTCACAGCAGGAGTTGGGGCAGAGATGGCAGCTGTGCCCCTCTGTGCTGGGCCGGGCCACACAGAGCCCTTCCAGGCCTCTTCCCCCTGCCCCGCCTCCGCCTGCAGGCACTACTGTCCTCCTGCACCTGTTGACACCTCTGTTAGCAGATGCAGGCCCTGCTGACACAGTCCCCGGCACAGAAGGGCACTGTGGCAGGAGGAGGTGACCAGCATGCCACCCATCACCAGCCCCACCTCGAACAGCAGCCCCACTGGGGCCCTTCCCTCCGCTTCCTATGGATGAGCACCATGGTTCCACCAAAGGGACAAGGCGGAGTCCAGGGAACCTGAAGCCTGTATCCAGGCAGCTGGTCGGCAGGGCTAACAGAGCCTCGGCACCACGGGGTCTCCTGACCTGGGAGGGCCAGGGTTGCTTTAAAATCAGTCACTCTTCCAGCAGCACTGAAATTCCCTAGAGGAGGAGATGGGTCCCAGGCCCTATGCTCAGGATCCCAGGACACAGACAGCTAAGGGCGGGTGCAGCGGGAGCCCTTGTGCAGTCCAGGCAGGGCCACCGAGTCAGGGCAGAAGGAACCCTTCTCCTCCTGGGTCCACGGGGCCGTGTCGGTGCAGATCCTGGGACAGCGGAGTGTGGTTGGAGTGCCGCAGTCCAAAGGGCCGGGCCAAGGCTGGATCAGAACAGGATTTCTCAGTTGTCTCTCTGCAAGGAACCCAAGGCCACACACCTTGAGGTATAGCTGTGTCCCTCTGAGCAGCAGCCAGAGGGGACACAGGGCCGGTTCTGTGAGATTCCCACTCGGGGACCCAGCAGTCCACAACTCTGCCTTCGGTGTTGAACGGATTTCCCAGAGGCGATGCCTTGCTCCAAGAGAAGTTCATTTATTCTTCACTAAAGGTGAGACGCAGCAGCCCACGTGCGGGAAGGCTGTGCCACACGGCATCTCTGCAGACCTGGGGATAGCGAGGACGGCCGAGGGGCTAAGGCGAAGGCCTTGTGGCGTCTGAATCAAAAGGAAATGGGTCTCAATGGAAGCATTGGCGGGGGGCTGGGGGGACGCCAAACACCAGCAGCTCGTGAGCTCCCCACTAGAGACCCAGGGCAGTAAAGGAGCCACTAGCGTCCCCCTTCAGTGTGCCATGGCTCTTGGCAATCGGTATGCATGAATCCCCTGCCCATGGGGACCTGATGGACCTGCCCAGGGTCCCCGATCCTTTGATAGCAGGCAAGTGAGACTCCTCTATCTCCCGGAGCCATCGGGACCCTGGTAGCTGAAGCCGGGCATGAATGGAGGTGCATCCCAGCTGGAATGTGTGGCAGTGGAATGCAGCTTGCCCCGGCGACGTTAGGACAGCACTTGGCCCTGCCGGTGTTGATGACCAGCCAAGGAGGACACAGCCAGACCCCCTCTCGAGGTGCACACATCAAGCCCCCAGCCTGGCCAGGCTGGTTCTTTCTATCCAGAGCCCATTGGCAGTAGTGGGGCGAGCAGGTGGGGAGCTACCCAGGGCTTTGCCACTTAGCAGGAGGTCCGGCTGGGGGTCAAGGGATGCGGTCCCAATGGTCCCAGAGTTGTGCTGAGGGTCGGCGGGCCTGGCACAGGCCAAACTGCAGGGAGAGGGAAAGCATGCACTGGAAGTTGCAGGTAAGAGCTAGCACATGGACAACAGCGAGGCAGGTGACCGGGGCACCCAGACTGGGCGGGAACAGAGGTCAGGAGGGGACGGCTTTCCAAGAGGGATGCTGTTGTATGGACATTTCTTCTCCACAGCAAACAGCCGATGCTACCCGGATGGCTGCAGATGCTACCGGGCTGGTGGCGGCTTCCTAAAGGTTCCGTGCCCGAGCGGGCAGAGCCGGAGCTGGACTGGTCCCACTGGAGGCTGGGTGCACCGGGCAGGGCCCAGTGCCCGCCGCGGCCAGCTGGCGGCACAGCATCTGCCGCTCCCGCACAGCCCTGTTGGAGGCTGAAGTCTTCCTGATCTGGGCGCGCCGCGCATGGCGCAGGGGGGACTTGTAGGTTCTCCGCAACTCGGCCAGGAAGCCCTGATAGTCGTTTCGCAAGGGGCTGTCTGGCTGCATGTGCGGGATGGCCCACTTCTCGGCCTCCCCGGTCAGGCGGGACACGAGGAAGGCCACTCGCTCGGCCTCCCCCGGGAAGCGGGAGGCCTGGAAGATCATGAACCTGTCCATCTGCATCAGGAAGCCCGCCAGCTGGCCCGGGTCTCCGGAGAAGGGCTCAGGCAGCGAGGTGGGCGGGGTGGTCATGGGGCGCGTCCCGTTGGAGGTGATGGCCGAGATGGGCGGCGTGATCTGCAGCGCCCCGGGGATGCGCGCGCGGGTGCGCAGCAGGGTCAGCTCGGCCATCACGCTCTCCAGCATGTTGGTGAGGTTGGCCTTCTCGGCGCGCAGCGTGGAGGCCTCGCGGCGCAGCGCGGAGTTGGTGAGGCGCAGCGAGGTCAGCGTGTCGATCACGTCGTCCATCTGGGCGTTGGCAGCCCCAGCCGAGGCCGGGCTTTCGGCCTTGGAGGTCTGCGGCTGCACCATCCCGGCCGCGGCGGGCCACACGCGAAGGCCGAAGGGTGGGTGCAGCGGGGCCGGGGCGCCAGAATCGACCGGGGGCCTCGGGGTGCTGGGGCGGGCTGAGGTGCAGGGCAGGGGACCGGCCAGGCCCGCGCGCGGCCTGGTTCTGGTTCCGGTTCCGGATGCGGCCTCGCCGGGCCCGGAGGTGGGGCGCCAGGCCGGGCTGGTTCGGGGCCCCGAAGGATGAAGATGATTATTATTTTCCTTTTTTACGGTGTGGACTGCGGAAGCGGGGGTGCGGGGCGCACGGGCGGCTCGGTGCCCCGCGCCCACCTGGGCAGAACAAAGAGGGCGGCACCTGCGGGCGGGCGCGCGTACCTGGGTCTCCGCGGCTTCCTCCGCGCCGGCGCCACCGCGAGGGCCCTGCGGGCCGCGGCCAGCTCCACGAGTCACGGCGACGCCGCGGGAACTGCTTCCCGGTCAGCGCGGCGGCGAGGGCGGTGGCGGGGACCCAGGGGCCGGGCGCGGGCCCCGCTGGTTGCCATGGAGACCGCTCGCTCAGGAGCGCGCGGCACAGCTGGAGCCCCGCCCCGGAAGTGACGCGACCGTGCTGCCCGCTCGGCGCGATGGCTGGCCCACCTGCCTCAGCAGCCAATCAACGGTGAGTGTGCTGGCCCACCTGCCTCAGCAGCCAATCAACGGTGAGTGTGCTTGTGGCTGTTTCATTACTGCGCTTTGCTTTGCTGATCCTTCCCGAGACTGCTTGCAAAGCTCTTTTTGTAAGTGCTGTGCTTGTATTTTAGATGAAATTGACTTTTCTTCTTCTTGTAACTTGAGTATCAATTCAGTGTACTATATATGCCTTGCGGCAAGTCTTCAGAAGTCTGAAAAGTCCTAAAACCTTTTCAGTCACCTGGAGAGAGCAAATGGTAATATTACTGCAGCTCCTGTCATTTTTCCAAGATATCCTGTTATAAGTACCATTTTTTAAAAAATGCTGCCCCTTTCTCAGATATTCTTATCTCCAGAAACTCTGCTTTCCTGCTTCCTAGCCTATTTTGCTATTTATTTTTATTTTTTAAAACAACCTCAAATTTTGAAACACTATCATTAGAAGATACAATGGTGGGCTGGGGATTTAGCTCAGTGGCATAAGTGCCAGCCTTGCAAGCAGGCAGTCGTGAGTTCGATCCCTGGTACCGATAAAAAGGAAAAAGACCAAAAAAAAAAGATACAATGGTTAATATACTGCGTATTGTTATCTTTAAATCAGTTACTCAGAGTACAAGACACCTGCAGTTAATTTTTCGGACAATACCAGCACAAACCTTTCTCTTCAGTGAACTCAGAGAAATCTGCAGTATAACTATCTTAACTATCGTATATATGATTTCTTTCAGCTTCTCACATTAGGGTATTTAGCTCTTTAAATTATTTATATTTTGAATTTCTCATGGAAGAAAAGCCAGATGATACCTATGTGTCTGGTCTGTTTCACACAGCTTTAGGGTCTCAAGATCTGCCTGTTTCTTATTTATCCTTGCTGTGGCTGTGTGGTGCTCAGTTGTGTATTTACACCACATTTTCTTTTATCTGTTGGTTTCTTGATGAGTGTATAGGCCGCTTCCACGAAATACTGTTTTTGTGCCTTATGAACTGTTTTGCAGGGGTTTTTTGTTTTCTTTTTGTCCTTTTGTCTTTTTGTCTTTTTGAGACAGGGCTTGTTCTGCAGTTCAGCCTGGCCTTGTGTTCACTGTGTAGCCCATGCTGATCTCGAACTTGCAATGCTCCTCCTGCCTCTGTTTTGTGGCCTTAGCAGTATGTTGAAGTTTGAGATTTTCCCCATTAAAAAAGTTTGAAGCCATAGTTACTGCCTGGTGTTCCCCCCAAATCATGTACCACAGTCCATTCAGCCATGCCTGTCTGTCTTACTGTTCACACTGAAGTTTTATAAACCACACTGGCATATGAATCTCAGCCTCTCTCTCTGCAGGCTTCCTGGGGTCAATGCCTGCAGAAATTATCAGAGAGGAGAGAAATTATCAGACAGGAGGGTACAAGCTGTTAAACCCGGGATCTGGATGTCTTTCCAGTTCGATTCTGCTGAGCTGTGTAAGAGTAGCCAATTTCAAGCTGGGTCCTGGCTGCAGAGAAAAGTGTTTCCAGGAGGGCTGCACCCCGCAGGCATGGCCTGGGATGGAGCGGGGTTCACTCACACCCACAGCTGTCACTCCAAAATGGGAAGTGGCGTGGGAGTGTCAGCACCCAGAGGGATGCTTGTACCCAGCCTGCCAAACTGCGAAATGTCCGTGGCCAGCTGGCTGCATACTTCCAGAAGATAAAGCAAGAGAGGAAAGACCGGAGACAGGATGGCCTCCACTGCCTTGTCTGTGATCTTTCCCAAATCAGATGGAGCGGGAACTCTGTTAAATTTGACTGAGGTCAGCAACTTCAAAAGTAGTCAGTGGCCTGGACTTCTCTACCCTCCTGATTCTTCCAAATAAGTGTCCAGTCTGCTGAGACGCCCCTCATGTCCCTCCCTCAGTGTCAGATGGCCCCTCCCCTGGGTGTTTTGCAGAAGGCTGAGGCATCTGCTGTAATTCCAGACAAGCTTAAATTCCCAAGAGCCTCGACTGTAATGTCCACCCTAATGTCAGAGGTGATAAAGCATGCAATTGAGGGGATGCCACTTATTCCTATTTCATCTTATGTCGAATAGAGCCTAAGGTGGCCAGATATTAAAATAGAGCAAAATAAAAATGACAGAATCTTAAACATCAGAAAAACAGAGGATCCAGAGGTCGCTAGGATTCATGCTTTGTCTCTACTGTAGAAAGAGACTATAGAAAACTATAGAAAGCGAATATTAACAGGCTTGGCCAGGCTTGAAAACAAGAGCCCATGTTTCTGTGGGCTAGAGACACTGCTGAGTATCGGCCCAGCCCTGGGCCTGCTGGGCTCTGGTCCTGGGGGGTGCTAGGGGCACAAGGGCAGGAACTGGGCCAGGCCTCCTGTTGAAGGCGAAGGTTAGGAAGGAGGAGTCGCCATCTGGTAGGTGTCTGTCTCGGCTGCTTTTCTGTCGTTGCTGAGACAAAATTCCTGTCTTAGTCACTTCTTTCTCATTGTTGAGACAAAATATGCAATGCCCAAAATTAGGAAAGGAAAAGGTTTATTTCTCTTACAGTTTTTTGGAGATTTCAATCTATACTCAGCTAGCTCCAGGATAGGATGGAGTGGCTGAGGGGCAGCCGTTCGTGGCAGTCACAAGTTACAAGAGCCAAAGGGCAAAAGAGAAATACATGCCTTCTTCTCTCCCTTATATTGCATGCCGGCTCCGCCGCTGGGCGGGTGCAGCACTCACACCACCAATCCCAGTGCTAGACAATGAACCAATCACAAACGCTAGATTCAGCCGCCTCCAAGACTGCATGAGGCTTGGGAAGCCATCCAAATACAAGCCATAACAGGGTCTAAGAAATCTGATTCATCATAAGGATGAAATATGAAGGTGTAGCCCTGAGACAGACAAGGAACAGACACAATCTCATGGGTCCCCTGTCCCAAGTTGATGGACAGACCATGGAAAGTCATGATTCTGAACCACCAATAAAAAACACCATTCTGTTCTGCAGACCAGGGATCCAATGCAGGCAGCTGAGAGAAGGGTTTTGTTCACTCCACATTATCCTGGAAATCAAAACTCTAAAGCCCATGATGTCATCTAATGCCGTGAATAATGACCAACAGAGTCAGTAGCCATAATATGAGTTAACTTGAGGTAAAATTTAAGCGATAGAAAAGTCTGGAAAAAAGTGTAGGCATATTAGGGATATTCAGTGACAACAACGGAGTAACATTCATGAAAAGGACAGACATTGTGAAGGAAAAGACATAACAGGATCAGGTAGCTATGAAAATGGATCCTTTAAAAGGAAATGTGGTTGGCTTCCATTTCGAGGAAGAGTAGAGATACTTTTCCCTATTCTTTTCACAAGCACAGCTCAAAGCAACTTTAACAACAAAACGAAACAAAAATCCCCAACACTAAAGGGAGGGGAGAAGAAGGCAGACTGGCTGGGGGCTCAGGACCCAGGGGATGACCTGGCGGTGAATCCCAGGGTTGATTTTACCCCATTTATTCCAGAGGTGATGCTGACAAAGCTGGTGACCCAGAAGCACCAATGGCTGCAGACCAAAAAAAAGCTCACCGGAAAGGTCTGCTCTCTCTAGCCAGAGGACCATAAAAGGAGCAGACTGGACAGTCTCCACTCTACTCCCTTCAAACACTAGCTGTACTCCTCAGATCTATGGATGGGTCCAACACAATCCTCATCAGATTCCCAGCAACCTTTTTGTAGGAATTAAGATGCTGACTGTAAAATTACTGTGAGAAGTCAAAGACCTACAGTAGCCAAGACAATCTTGGACAAGAGCTAAATTGGAGGCTTCACACTTCTCAACTTATTCACAGAGTTACAGTAATTAAGACTGTATGATATTGGCGTAGATTAATGGATTGGAACTGAAGGTTCAGAAATAAAGCTAACATTTATGGTGAAACCATTTTCAAAAAGAATACCATGACAGTTCAGTGAGCAATGATCAGTCTTTACTAAAACTAGAGATAGACAGTAAAGTTACACCCCCTACCTCACACCGAACACAAAGCCCTGCCTCACACCAAACAGAGCTAGCTGAAAAAAGATCAAAGACGTAAATCCAAGAGCTACAGCTGCAGAAGTCTTAAGAAGAAGAAGGTATGTTTTGGTCACCATGGATAGAGCATTGGTTTCTTAGATGTACCACAGAAGTGAAAATGACACAAGAAAAAATTAGATACATTGAACTTCACCAGAATGAGAACTTTTATGTTTCAAAGAACACTATCAAGGAAATAAAAAGTTATCTGTAGTGGTTGATACATTGTGTATCATTGTGATTCATTGTGTCCACTTGAGAGTTTAGAAGTTTAACTAAGTGACTGAAGGGTTGTTACTTTGTAAACATCCTCAGCCTGTGCAAGAGGAGGGTGGGGAGACATGTGAGTGCTGCACCGCCCCAGGGCAGGCGGCCTGCTGACAGTGTAAGGAGGAGGAGAGGCTCGCTCTGCCCACTTTTGCTTCTGCTGTCTTCTCCTGACACCATGAACTGTTTCCCCCATGCCAGGCCACCCTGCCTTGGAGCCAACTGATCATGGACTGAAACCTCCACAAACTGTAAGCTAAATAAGCCTTTCCTTCCTTCATTTTGGGTGTCAGGTATTTTGTCCTGGCAATGAGAGAAAAGTAACTAAGACACCATCCAACATACAGAATGGGAGAAGCTATTTGGAAACTGTATGTCTGATGAGGATCTCATAGAGTGCATAAAAAACTCATAGCTGATTTTTTAAAAAGACAATTTTCAAAATGAGCAAAGGATTTGAATAGACATTTCCTCAAAGAAGATGTGCCAGTGACTGACAAGCACATGCAAGGATGCTTGATGACATTACCCAAGAGAAACACAAATCAAAACCACAGTGAGATACCACCTCATACGCCAGTATTGCTGTCACCTAAAAGACTACAGATAGT